TCATTACTTAAAAAAATTCCTTTTTGGTTTTTCATTCATCCTTAGATTTAGGATGATGTTACTCTATTTCCATGTAACTTGTAAGTTTTCTATAATTGTTCTTGTTGATTTCTAGTTACATTCCTTTGTGGTCTAAGAAGATATATGATATGATTTCAATTTTAAAAAAAATACTACTGATATTTCAGTTGTGATCTAAAATATAATTTATACCAGACACCGTTACATATGCTGGGAAGAAGAATGTGGATTCTATACCTATTAGCTGAAATGTTCTATAAATGTCTCTGCAGCATGGTTTTACTTTGATATAGTTTTATTGACTATCTGGAAGTCAATAAATAAATCAGTTATCATTGATGATAATGGGCTGTTGAAGTCTTCCATTATTACTCTATCACAGTCTGTTTCTTGGTTTAAATCTTATAAATAGATACATGCCTGTCACAAAATTACCTAAATATTTAAAGCAAATAGTGTAAGTTAGTTACAGCTTTCTTGTTGAATTGCTATTCTTATCAACATAAAATACCCTTCTTTGTCTCTTTACAGCTTTTGTGTATCTCTACCTGTGCAGTGAGTCTCTTGTAGGAAGAATATGGTTGATCCCTGTTTTTAATCCAGTCAATCAAGCTGTTATCTTTTGACTGGAGAATTTAATCCATTTATGTTCATTGATTGTTTACTATTGTTGTATGTATTCTGTTTCTTTATGTACTTCTTCGATGGTAGGCTTTCAAATAGGTTTGAAATAGATTTTTATTTTTATTATGGTTTTAATTTGTACTTCTCTAGTAACTGGGGGTGGTGAGTATTTTTTCCTGTGCTTATTAGTCATTAATGCATTTTGCTGAAATGCCAGCTCAAATCTTTTACCCTTATAAATTGATAATTTATCTTATTGAATTATATAAATTCTTTATTTTGCATATACTATTAAAAGTTAAGCTTTTGGTTTACAAATGACTTTCCCCATCTGTAACATATTTCCATTCATTTCAATGAAATTTTTAGAAGTGTAGAATTTTTTAATTTTTATAAACTTCAAGTTATTCAGCATTTATTTTATGGATCATGCTCATATTGCCATACCTGTGCCTAACACAAGACCACAAACTATTTTTCCATCTACTTCCTAATGGATGTTGTGATTTCACTCTTACATTTGGAAATAAATCCATTGAGAGTTGTTTTGTGTACCATGTGAAGACTTTGAATTCATCTTTTTCCAGCACTATTTTTTAAAAGACCATTCTATTTACAGTTAAATCATGTTGGTACCTTTATTGACTATAAATAGTGTTAATACTAGAGTCTTTATTCTGCTGATTTTACTATCTATGAATATCTTTTCCTGTTTGGGACTGTTATATGTTTTTTGAAGAAATTAATTAATTTACAGAGAGACAGAGACAGAGATGGAAAGAGGGAGGGAGGAAGAGAGAGAGAGAAAATTAGAATCTTCCATCTGCTGATTCACTCCCCAAATGACTGGGATGATCAATGCTGGGCCAGATTGAAGCAAGGAGCAAAGAGCTTTATCTAGGTCTCCCACGTGTGTGGCAAGGACCCACATAACTTGAACCATCTTCCAAGACCCTTCCAAGGCCATTTGCAGGAAGCTGCATAAGAAATTCAGCAGCCCCAGTACAAGAGCTAGTATGGCCTGAGATGCCATCTCTACCTGCTATTTACTACCTGTGCTGCAATGCTGGCCCATGTTATATAATCTTATTCATAATAACATTACAATGAAAGCTGAAATTCAGAAATGTAAATTCTCCAATTTCGTTTTACAAAAATTTTTTGGCTGTCTTGGGTATTTCATTTCTAAGTTAAGTTGGGGATCAGCTTGTTAATTTCTTTTCTCAAGCCTGCTGAATTTTAACAGAGACAAATTAAATTTATATTCATAATATCTCAGGAGTACTGAGTCCTCCTATCCATGAATGCACATTTTCTTCCTATTATTTTATTTTTATATTCTCTCAGCAGCGTTTTGCATTTTTCAGTGTGAAAGTTTTGTACTTCCTATAATAAATGTATTTTTAAATACTTTGTATTTGAATAGAGTTGTTTTAAAAATACTTATTTTATTTATTTGAAAGTCACAGCTACATAGAGGGAAGAAGAGAAAGGAGGAAAGAAAATGAGAATCTTGCATCCACTGGTTCATTGCCCAAATGACCACAACAATTGGGGTTTGGCCAGCCAAGCCCATAGGCCAGGAGCTTTTTCCAGGTCTACCATGTGAGTAAAGGGGCCCAGGTACTTGAAGCATCCTCTGCTGCTTTCCCAGTGCATTAGCAGGGAGCGGGGTCTCAAACTGGTAACCATATGGGATACCTGCACTGTAGCCAATAACTTAACCCACTACAGTGCAGTCCCAGGAATGATTTTCTTCATCTCATTTTCAGAATGTATATTGCTAGTATTTAAAACTACAACTTATTTTATAAATTACTTTTGTATCTTCCAAACTTACTGAACTTTTTTGTACGTCTTAAATTCTTTTCCTCATGGGGTTTGAACCTTGGGATTTTCTGCATATAAGATTCTGTTGGGCCCGGTACCGGTGGCGCATGGCGCAGTGGCGCAGTGGCGCAGTGGCGCAGTGGCGCAGTGGCGCAAGTGGTTAAGTCCTCGCCTTGCACTCCCAGGATCCCATTTGGGCGCCGGTTCTATCCCGGCAGCCCTGCTTCCCTTCCAGCTCCCTGCCTGTGGCCCGGGAAAGCAGTCCAGGAAGGCCCAAAGCTTTGGGACCCTGCATCCGCGTGGGAGACCCAGAAGAGGCTCCTGGCTTCGGATCGGCATAGTATCTACTGTTGCGCTCACTTGGGGAGTGAATCATCAGATGGAAGATCTTCCTCTCTGTTTCTCCTCCCTGTATATCTGCCTTTCCAATAAAAAAAAATAATAATAATACTTAAAAAAAAATCTTAAAAAAAAAAAAAGATTCTGTTGCCTGGTTATTTTCTTTTTCTTGACTCACTTCTCTAACTAGAACCTTCAGTACAAATGTCAACTATAAGTGACAAGAGCCTATATATTTGCTTTGTTAGTGTTAGGGGGAGTAGGATATTAGCTATAAGTTTTTCCTAAATGCGTTTTTGGATCAAGAACATTATGTTCTATGCTTAGCTTATTGAGGATATTTTTTAGGAGTTGGTGTTGGCTTTTGTCAAACTATTTTTAAAAATATGTATTGATATGATAGTTATTTTAATATTTTATTCTATTCATATGGCAATTTCCATTAGCTTGATTTTGATATTAAATTAACTTTGTATTCCTGGCAAACATCCTACTTGGTCAGTGTATATAATTTTACTTATATGTTGCTGGACTCCCATTTATAATTTTTTTATTTCAGTATTATAGAAATAGTGGCCTCATGAAAAGGTTTGAAAAGTATTCCTTCTTCTTCCATTGTCTGGAAGTTTGTGAACATTTGGTATTTCCACTTTAAACATTTGATAGAATTTAACAACTAATCCATCTGTGTCTGTGCTTTCCTTGTGAAAAAATTTTATTTACTAAATAAAAGCCTTGTTACATGTCTATTCAGATTAACTATTTCTTTCTTTGAGTCAGTTTAGTAGTTTGTGTATGTCATGGAAATTTTCTGTTCTGCCACAGTTGTCAAATCATTAGCATACTGTTGTTCATAGTAATCCTTTATTAATTTAATTACTCCCTGTTCTCTCACTCTTGCAAGTTTGATAATGACTTTCTTGTCTATGCATGTTTCTCAACCTCAAGTCATCTGAGATGTTGGCCTTCCCTAAAGGAAAGTGGGTATTCCAAATAGATTAGCCAATTTAGCCATCACCTGCAGGCTTTTCAGACTTTATGTGCCCCCAGCAGTAGTGACACATTAACGGAATCTGGAGAAAATGTTTTTGTCCAAATTGTTTAACTCGAATATTGTGTTATTAGTGAACATGAAGAGTTCTTTATTTGGGGGGGTCATGAGGTGGGAGGAACTACCAACAGGCTAATTCTCAGCCTGACAGCAGTGGTATCACATGTGGCTGTTAGTGTCCTGTTGCCACGCTTCCCATCCAGCCCCCTGCTTATGACCTGGGAAAGTAGAGAAAGACGGACCGAGTCCTTGGGTCCCTGCACCCACATGAAAATCCTGGAGCTCACCTCTGGCCAATGCAGTCATTTGGGGAATGAGCCAGCAGATGAAAGATTCTCTCTGTGTATAAATCTGTCTTTCCAAAAAAAAAATAATTTTTTTTAAAAAGAGGTTTTGTTTTGTTTTTCTAACTCTTTTGCCCAGGACTATTAATTTTTCTATTCTTACTCCTTATATTGATTTCCTAAGTTTTTCATGACAAATTATCACAAACTTGGTGGCTGTAAACAACAGCGAGATTATTATTTTATGATTAGAAAGACAAAAATCTGAAATCAGAGCATCAAAAGGGTTGGTTCCTTATGGAGGCACTAAAGAAGAATTTATTCATGCCTCTTTCCTAGCTTCTGGTAGTTGTCAAAAATTATTCCCATAGCAGAATCTCTCTAGTTTTTGTCTCCATGGAATTCTTTCTTGTATGCCTGTATATCTGACCTTCCTCCTTTATATTATACAGGACCCCCCTCTAATCCATTAGACCTAATCTTAATTAATTATGTGTTCAAAAGCCCATTTCCAAGTAAGGTCATATTCTGAAGTTCTGGTAGAAATAAATTTTGAGGCATATTATTCAACTCAATAAACCATCATGAACTATCCTCTGAAAATCAGTATGTTGTTTTGTGCATTAAGTGATCTTTTGCGAGGGTTAGTTTTAAAATGCCAAAAAATTAGACATCATGATATCACCTTTTTTGGGAATGGTTCTTCAAGTTAGAATAATTCATTAGTATGCCGTTATTGTCATTATTTTATTCAAGCCATTAAGAAAGAGGCAGAGAGATCTGGATAGGAAGGGGTTGGTGGAGAGCATAATTCTTTTCAACTCTGATTTATGTGTCTGCTTTTAATCTAGAACCAAATAATTATCGGACCATGCATGGTCGGGCCGTCAATGGCAGCCAACTGGGAAAGGATTACATCCAGCTGAAGAGTTTGTTGCAGCCCATCCGGATTTACTCCAGAGCCAGCTTGTATGGTCCTAATATCGGGAGACCCAGGAAGAATGTCATCGCCCTCCTAGATGGGTAGGTCAGATTACTTAGCCAATTATGACATTCCTCATTTAAAATAATGAACTGATGATTTTTTTTCTGATCATTTTCAGTCTTTAGGATTGAGGATTTTCTTGCACGGTGGCTTACCCCTCTTAAATCAAGGATTCTGCATCAAATAGTGGTATAACTTACCTCTCCAAGACTTGCAGAGTCACCAAAGGGGTTTGGAGATCACAGTTTGTAAATTCAGCTTGGTAATAAACATTATTCAAAAAGAAACATCTAATATTACACTTAGTAATTTTGTATTTTAAAAAAAAAAGAGTGCCCCTATTCTAGAGATGTCTTCCTAAAAGTAAAAATTGAAAAATCCTGACCAACAGAGCTGGATTAAAAATTTGAGAAATGAGGGACTAACATTATGGCATAGTGGGCAAAGCCATTACTTGCAATGTCGGCTTAGCACATGGGCACCTGTTTGAGTCCTCTTGCTCTACTTCCAGCCCAGCTCCCTGCTAGGATGCTCAAATGGGATATACAGATGTAGCTCCTGGCTTCAGCCAGACCCAGCGCTGGCTATTGCTTCCATTTTGGGAGTGGACCAGCAAATCTCTCTTCTTTCTTTCCATATCTTCTTCTCTTTCTGATACACTGACTTTGAAGAAAGAAATGATCTTTAGGAAAAAATTTGAGGAACTTTGAAAATACGTGTAGATTAAAGCAAAAATGAACTGATAAATATATAATCAAGTATTGTAAAGAATGCTTCCATTCCATTCATAAGAGTGCCTCAAAAACTTGTGAAAAGTATAAATTAATAAAAGATGAGTTTACTTTGGTATAAAAACTTAAAGCCTGTGTATTTGCTTTTTGTAATATGAATTTCCCATAAACTTTATGAAGATGTTTTTGTGTGCGTGAGTATAAAAAAATTTTACTAAACTCATCTTGTACACCTATTTTTCATGATCAGAAGGAACCTGGTGATGAGAGACAGAATAAAAGTGGAATTACAAGTGTGTTTTGAATACAAACATGTGTCTCCCCTTTTCATCTCTGATTTTATTGATTTGTGCAAGAAAGATACTTAAGACATAATCTAAAATATAATCTAGGAGTTTAACTAGACAAAAGTGGTAAGTGAATTGTATCAGTATTCTTAGCAGAAAGGAAAGTATATACAAAAATTTTGAGAATGAAAAAGGGGCTAGATTGGCTAGAGAAGGTTAGAGTTAGACAAGCAATTAGGAACTATGTTATAAAGTGGACTAAAGATATCATGCAGGGCTTAAAATTTCTCCCAAGTGTTTTCTGGAAGATATTGGATACTTTTAAGCTAGGGGAGGAAATCATATTATTGTATAAAAAGTGTGTTATATCTACTCTGGGAGAAATGAATCAAAAAGAGAAAGCATGTAAATCAGTGACTAGAGAAGGTTGTTGTAATACTGGAGAGAAAGAATGATAGAGATCTGAACTAAGGCAGAGCAGTGGAATCATTGAAGGTAAAATCCATGAGAATTGATGATATATTATGCAATAATATAATGTTACACCTATGTGTAATTGTTGGGTAGATGTCTTAGCATTTCCTGTTGAGAAGGTAGGGAGTAACTGGTTCATGAGAAAAATCATAACACCATATTTTTTCTGTTATACTTTCTAAGCTTCAATCTAAATAGAGATTTCAAATATACCATTGAGTATTAATCAAAGGATCAAGTTCTCTGCTAGAGATATTAATCTTGGGAGTCATTAACCTGAAGATGAGCCAATCACTTGATGAGAGAGGTTGGAGAAAAAATAAATAAATAAAGGGGCAATGATGGAAGCCTTGGAGAGGGCCCTAGAAAACTTGCACATGTAGAAGTACAAGAAAGATGAATGGCTGGTGAAATGAGGGGAAAAGGGGCAGATGCAGTGGCATGGTTCAATAATCCTTCATCCGTTAGTGCCAACATCTCATAGGTGCTGGTTCCTGTCTTGGCTGCTCCACTTGCCATCCTGCTCCCTGCTTGTGGCCTGGGAAAGCAACAGAGGAAGGCCCAAAACCTTGGGACCCTACGCTCATGTGGGAGACTGGGAAGAAGCTTCTGGCTCCCAGCTTTGGAGCAGCTCAGCTCTGTTTAGGGAGTGGACTAGCAAATGGAAGACTCTTGTCTCTCTGTGTACAATCTACCTTTCCAATAAAAATAAATTTAATTTAAAACTCTAAAAAGAGCAAGATGAGCCAAAAAGAGAGCCTGGGTAAGGAGGATTTGCTTCTAGCACATCACTAAGCTGAATAACAAGAGCACAGAGAGTTGGCTTTGTGTTGGGTAACATGTAGAGAGTTGGTGACTTTGAGAAACACTTCAACAGAATGTTGGGGACATTGAAAGAAAGCAGAGAAATGAAGGAAAATGTGTAGTCAAGGAAGGTGAGGGCATTTTCCCTAATTACCGTGGGAGATAATGTAATAGGTTTGCAGGTTGGTGAGATATAGTTGTGAGAGGAGACAGATAATTCAAGAGAAGGAAGGAAATAGTCAATGTAGAGTCCTAAGGTTAGGAAAAAATGAAACCCAGAGAAATTGACCTTCATTAAAGGGGGCCATTTGATAAGAAACAAATGTTTTTCTATGTAAAAAATTAAACTGCACATTTATTCTGTAGAATATTACTCAACCATAAGAAATAATGAAACCTAACCGTTTGCAACAAAATAGTCCCAGCTGGAATCCATTAGGTTCAGTGAAGTAAGGTAAGTTCCCAAAAGGACAAAGATCATATGTTCCCTCTGACATAGATGATTAATACACAAAGTGTAATCTATATCTATGTTTATATGAACTGTACAAGGGAGATTAGCGTACTAGGAACTAATGTTTGTATGCAATATGCATCCTTAGTCCTGAATAATAAAAGGATTCATATACTTACTATGACACATTTAAATATCAGAAAGTTACGCTTGTATCTGTGACCTGAGTGACTTTGCTTTTATAATTTGGGGACAACTAGTGAGAGAAGAAAGTGGTGACAAAGGAAGGTGAGAGGTGCTTACAAAACAGTATGGTGGAAAGTAATAATTAACTAATTTTAAAATGATTAGACCATCAGGCATAGGAGAGGTCCTAACCTGATACATGAAGTATACTAGGGCATTTCTGGCTCATGTAATTTATGTAAATGTGACACATGGATACTGGATTGTTACACATAAGTCAAAAAAACTTGGGGCAAGACAGTAAGAGACTTATTACACAAATGAGATTGTGACTAGGTTGTTATGGTAACAAATAGGGAGCTCTACTTCCTTTATATTCCAAAACTAAGATATGGCTCAAAAGATTAAGAAAAATATCTTATGGCAAAGAAAGATGCTAATGAGCTTTTTTTCATTATGTGCCAGAAAACACATGCAGATTTATCTTTCTTTTTAAAAGAAATTTATTTGTTTTAATTGCAAGGATAGATATACAGAGAGAAGGAAAGACACACAGAAGATCTTCTGTCTGCCAGTTATTTGTATGTGACCTCAGTGACTAGAGCTGAACAGATCTGCAGCTAGGAGCCAGGAGTTCTTCTAGGTCTCCCACGTGGGCACAGGGTCCCAAGGCTTTGGGCCATCCTTGACTGCTTTCCTGAAGGGAAGTGGAGCCACAGAGATACAAACTGGTGCCCTTATGGGATGCCAGTGCTTGCAAGGAGAGGATTTAGCCACCAGACCATCACTCTGGGCCTGAGATTGATCTTTCTTAATGCATACTAACTATATAGTGAAACAGAGCTAGAAACACATAAACATCCCCAGCAGCCCTAATAAACAGCAACAAAATTGTTAGCACTATAAATTAGCAGCTCTGAAGTCTTTTCTGACGTTCCTGGTTATACAGATGTGTTCTTGCCAATTGTGATCATTGTGTATGAATCATTTTGAATTCTGCATTTTTCACTTATTGCTTCATACAGCTCCTTTCTTTTTCTACTTAGTGCTCATATTTGTCATTCTTAACAGCAATAAAATGTAATGTTGCATCAGCGTACCAAAATCTTGCCTAAGCATTCCCTCAGTGTTGGGCATTAAGGCTGTTTCCAATTTTTGCCTGTAATATATACCACAGCTATAAGACTATTTTTTCACAAATATATGCTTTAGTTTTTGGAATTACATCCTTGGGATAGTTCCAAAAAGTTGTGGTTCTCGATCAAAGCATATAATAATTCTTATGACTCTTACATTTGTTGCCAAATTTCTTTTCAGAATATTTTTACCTGGTTGCAGGGCAGCCATGAATTTATGTGTGCTTTGCCCTAATATCCCACAGCAAGCACTATGTCATTTTGTTAATTTATTCTATTGTAATTATTACAAGACTATGCTGCATGATTGTTTAAATTTGAATTCTGTTAACCGTGAAAAGAGCTGAACGTTTTCCAAATCTTTATGTTGTCTTATTTCCTCTTATCCCAAGTTTGGCTAATAACATTATAGCCATTTTGCCTGAGGCTCACACTAGAAGCCATTTAAAATTCAGTCCTTTCCTTTGTTTGCATACTCAATTTGTTATTAAGCACTGTTATTTCTTACTTAATAGTTTCACTTATATCCTATTTTCTTTGCATGTTTATTTTAAACTTTAACACTTTTACTCCTAATTTTCCTGTAACTAGTGTCAGATTTTGATACCTTCCTTTTTTGTAGATTTCTGAGTAGTTTCTTTCTTATATTATTTTTTAATGCAACATCTGGTCAGTTTACTCTTGATTGAAATCCAAACTCTTTCAGATGCACTCTTGGCCTCTAGGATCTGGGCCTGCCTAAATTTGCATTTAATAAGCCATTATGTCCCTTAAATAACCTACCCTCTGGCTACCTTGAAGTATATGTAAATATTGGAAGATTCTATAACCTTTTTCTACATTTGCAAGTTTTTGTTTTGCATCATTTTGTTTTGAATATGAGTACTCTGTTACCCTCTTGGTTTTTCCTAGTCTCAGACATCTTCAAGCAACATTTGAAGGTTTATCTGTCTTTGCATGGCATTT